GCCAGCGGGTTACCGAGAGACGGCTCGCTTGTTGGCACTCGGTTTTAAGGGCGTTTTATCTCATCTCTAAATTACGTGCCTTCAGCATCAGCATTAGATCAGCGCTGGCACTACGGCTTGTGTTTCTCTTGCTTGCTGAAGATATTTGATTAAGCTTGGCTATCGCTGACCGTCCTCTTGGCTCGGGCTCTGACACTTAGTGACTTGGACCTGCTGAGTCCCTCTATTTATCTGTTTCACTCTGGCTTACAAAGCCTGGGCTGAGGAGGAAACCTGCTTCCTGGTGCTCCCATTCTGCTGCTTTCCCCTAGTTGCTCCTGAGTCCTTAGAGATGGGAATCGAAGTTTCTTCACCGTGGTGCCTCCACACCCTCCTCTTCTTGCTGCCACCCCAGAGGCGTGCTGCGCGGCTTCGGGCAGGATGGGCCGTGCTTCTCCGTCTCCGGCTCACCTACCTCCTCCACAGGCATGGATGTGGCTGTCCGGTTTCCTGAGTCGTGTGTTCTCCCTACAGTGTCTCAGTCATGCTGTAGGCTTTTGTGCCGTACTCTTTAACTAAATGCCGACTTAAAAAAACATCCAGATCCTCAGGAAAATTTTGAAGCTTTTTAAATTTCCTCTTTCGCAACCTTATTCCTTCCACGCCACAAACTTCTTTGGGGTTCTTGGACATTTTGGCATTTCAGCATCGCCTTGTAGTGGGATTCAGGATAATAGCTATAATTTCTTGTAACTCTAACCAGAAACTTCACTTCTGTTTGCCTTTAGGAAGCCAGAAGAAAGTATCTACCATTGATCAAGGGATCTTTGAACTCGCTGAATTCTTGATTGTATTCAGTCATTGTTCGTGGTATTAATCCTACTAAAAGGTATAGAGACGCTCCAGAGTGCTTTGTGGTGTTGAAGGTTGCGGAAAGATCATTGTACCCCTACAGATGAATAGATCTGTGGCTCTTGCAATGACCTTTCTCAGTGATTTGAATAAGCTGCAGTTCCCAGAAATCCATCTGCCTTTTGTGTTTGTTGATTTGTCTAATCTTTCCAACCCCTAAAAGAAGCAAAAAGTACCTTCCCATCCGATTTCATCCTCCCAAGTAAAAGCGTTAAATTGACCTCATTTCAGGTGATGAACTGACATCTGCTGAAAGTGATCCTGGCATCAGGCGAGCTTTTGGGGGGGTGTGGTGAAGAGGGAGGCAGAGGCCAGCGGCCCCAGAAACCTCTTACTAACTCTAAAGATAGTACCTTAAAACACCAACAAGTAGCCCGGACCATACAGCTCAGGAGTGCAGTGCTGAACGCAAGAAGCGTTACAGGCACTGAAGGTGAACATCCCCAGGCCCTGCTGCCCCAGTCTAACCTGGCTGGGAGTGCAAAGCAGGGGAGGAGAAGCAGGAACCAAAACCGAGGGAGATGCTGCTTTCCCTTCTGTTTGCTTTCTTATTTTACTAAAGGGAAAAAAACCCCAACTTATCTGTAGGTTTTCTGGGGACAGATTAGGGTAGCCAGGCTCCTCCTGATGTAAAGTATTTCTCTGGTTTTCTGGTAACCTATCAAAACTTAACCAGCATAGTGTATCCCAACCTATGTGTCAGATAACCTTACAGAGGGGAAATTACTAGAAGTGAATTTAAGTTTAGATTTATTTAAGCGAGCAGACGTACACAGATGTGTATACATATATGAACACATATTATATATATATGAATACATATTTTTTATATATATCTTCATACACACCCACACACATCCCTTTCTTCATGCTTTCTGTATTAAGGAAATAATACACATATCCTTTATGGTTTGTTTTAATGACCGTGGCTGCAACTATTAGCAAAGGATCCTCTTAAAAAAAGCCCTGATGAACTAAAACTTATTTTAGTGAAGTTTATTTTTAAGAATAATTATTTTCTTGTAGAATTCTTTTCTTTTGCCTAGGCACTTTTTTCCCTCCTTGAATGGCAGATTTGCAAGTACAATTTCATCTGCACAGAGGAACAATAGCTTTCAGTTGCACAAAGGATTTCTCCCACCCTGAATCCAAACCACAATGCCTCTTGCTCTGATAATAGCTTCTGAAAAGATTTTGTAATGCACAGAATTAATACATGATTATTTCCGCCTCACTTCGCTCATTTATTAGATTCTATAGTGAATTCCAAATTAAAAATAGCACCTCTTGAGTTTTTTAACATTCTAATATTTTGAAGCAAATCATATTCTGAAGTTCGTCTTTTTGCCCATGTTTACTAAGAAATCTGCATATTTTTTTTATTGCTCAGAAATGAAGCTGTCTAATATAAATGTAAAAATCAAGGCATGCAAAAATTGCAAAAAATTATAATGTCAAGTTGTTTTAAAATGAATTGTAGTGATTTTTCCTTTGCAAACTGGAAGAGGGGTCGGGTGCAGTAACTGGCAAACTGGGGTTTAAATCAGGAATATCTTTTCAAATTTATGAAGCAAAACAGAACCTCAACTTCAGTTAAAGTTTTGCTTCAGCAAGGACCAGAATCAGGCCCTGTCCTAGAGGAAATAATGAAGTGTAATTGTGCTGAGGCATCTGGAAGGTGAGCTTTCACATCACTGCATGGGAGCTCCTCTCTGCTCTTACAAAGACTTTCTCCCACACTTCCAACATAGGTGTGAGAACTTATTTACATGAAAGCGTACGTTAAATATTTACTGACATTTGCCTGGAATTCGTTTGAAATGTCGGCTGTTCTGCTGCATCATGGGATGATACCGCAGAACGGGACGCTGCTCTTTGATTAGACCAGTGATTTGTGACTCCAGTGTTATGGCTGCTCTAGTTACTGACTCACGTTTGGGTGTATATAAAATGTGTTCTATCGAGGGACCGGGAAAGCCTGCATGAGATCAGATCCTAAGCATTTTTCTTCCCTCTTAAAGAAAACCAACGACCACAAACCCTCACAGAAGTGGTGTACTTCAAGCAAACACTGTTGAGTGTAAGTGGTAGGTGTAATGTTGTTCTGAGGCAGGGTAAATCTTTGCCTTCTAGCATTTAAGCTCAGGCCGGGCCGTTTCAAAGCAAGGAAAGACTGGCTGAACATCTCCAAAGCCTCCGTATTTAGAGTCACTTCCTAAGCCATCCATTTAGGAATTAGTTGTTTTTCCTTCACTGGGATTTTCCAAGGAGAAAATCATTCAGGGGAATGTCAATATATTCTGCTATATAAAGTTTAAAAAATGCATAGTTACATGTAGCTGAGTTTAATATTTAATTATGTGTAATTTATGTGGTCTATTTATTTGTTAAGCCTTGGGGGGGGGAAGGTGATTTGTTTTTCTTGTTATGCAACAGCTATTGTTCCACTTCCACCCCAGGCACACGCACCATGGCAGCCCCAACCAGCACAGGGAGAGGTGTTCTGCTTTAAAAGACATCCGACTGTAAATGTCAAATTCATAAATATTTAAACATTTTTCTTTCAATTTCAAGTCAAGTCTGACAGGATGCCTCTAATTAACCCTGGGCTCCATTTCAGGCTGGGGCCTTATTGCAGGGAAGAATCAGGGGTTTAGGTGAGGTGGGGAAATCTGTGCTCCTGGCTGGAGCGGGGGGGGAGAGGGAGGGAGCTGGTAACTAACTCATCGGATTAATTTTTATCCGTTTCGTAATTTGATGTTTGGTCAGACATCAAGCAGGACGAAAGGGCAGCGGGTTTATCCAACTGAGTTGGGGGCAGTGGGGACTGTTTCCTGATGGGGCATGCCTGGGCGGGCGGGGCCCCGCTGCCGTCTGCGGCGCCGG